GGGATTCCGGCGCGCCGCCAGCGCCGGGCCTGAATGGCGGTCAGCTAAAATGACAAACGCCGAGCACGTTGAGGAGTTAAAAAGCACCGACAATTTATACATCTGATACAGGAGCATAAGAAAATGGGAACAGCCACAAACAATGAAAACACTTCATAAGCATATCATAGAGCACGCATTAAGTCAAATAATGAATTCTCGAATTATTTCCTGCATTTTAAGTTCCTGCAATAACTGGAGGACAGGGGGGGAGGATTTAAATTTTGAAGTCAATGGAATCTTTCATATAGAAACGTTCTTTTGTTCAGTAACAACCCTGCTTTGGGAAGCTGAAATGACACGCGTCTACCTAAGGGCTCAGAAGGCTGAAAAGCAAAAAAATCAAACACACATTGCCCCCGAAACACGAAATACTTCCAAACCCCATCTCATGGTTTTACGTAGCTTCTAGGCAGAAGGCTGCTCCTGAAGCCGATGAGCCCCGCAGCTATCAGGGTAATGAACGGGATTTGATACACTTACTGTCCCGGAGATAAAAAACCAACCCACTGGCGTACTTCTGATTACCACAGTTAATTTCTCTCGTTGGGGACCGCGATGAATTCTCAAGCTCTGGGGCCACGGCAGACCCAAGCCTCAGGCAGCCTCAGACCAGCTGCATTCACGTGCTCCCGGTCCACCTCGGTCGGAGCACTGACCTTCCGCTTCCACGCCTCAGCATAAACCAACCCAGCTCTTCCCTTCGGTGGGAGCAGCGTACTGCCCTCGGCCTCCTTTCGGCCTTCCAACTTCTAGACAGTCTCCACTCATTACCTATTTTTTCTGCTACTGAGCATCTTTCTTGGTTTAGCGTGCTGATGGTGTGGAAGCCGATACCCTACTTGTGTTCCTGCTAAGGTAAAATGAGACGAGCTACTCCCATACATTCCCATTTACTTTCAGATAGATGCTAACAAGAAAATACTGACATTAATCCCTTGTTTACAAAATCCAGCCTAAGACAAACTTGGATGTATTTCCTAATTAGGACACGGTGGGGTGCATTTTAGTTGGGAATGATTTGGCTTCGTAACATTCCTATGGGGTATTCTCTTCACTCCCAGTTTAGAGATTCAAAATAACACAACTCAAAGATAGACGTGAGGCTATTCAGGAGTCACCAAGCAAGTTTTCTGTATCGCAGGACTCTGCGCTTTTACAAGAGATCGCTTTTCCTGCACGGGACACAATGCTGGTCTATACAAACACACACACTTCTTAGGCCTACGGATTTATTTTGGATTTGGGTTTTTTTTAATGTCTTTTTTCCACTTCTTGTCACTGTGCCCTGGAGTGGCTTTCTCCCCAGAGCTCAGCTGTGCCATTCCACCTGTGCATCGTCACCAAGAGAAGGGTTTTAAGACAGCATTCCCCCCCTCTCAGTTATACCCATATGAAAAAAAATAACTTTCCACATATAAAATAACTCTTATTAGTGCTTTGTTAACTGTATTATTGCTACCATTTTAAGCCAGGCAGGATGAACATGTTCGAAATAGGAAATTAACAATTCTACCACAGACATTGCCATCCTCTGTACAATAAAATACAGCCAGGACACCATCAGGTTGCCCTTTTCACTGACTACACTGAAGATACAGTAGTAAATCAGCATTTCAAAATGACAAAAATGGTCTTTCCTCCTACAGAGAAATACCCGCTAGCTGGCTCATAGCCGCCTTTCCAGAAATCCTTCTCTAGAGATCAGAACTTCCATAAAGTGACTACGTTCAGCCAGTTCTCATCCTTAGCTTTGAAACCCAAATGCCACAAACAACCCTTGTGCACCTTGCAACTGCTAACACCAAATCTCACTGACCAAGAAATGTTTTATACATTAATTATATCTATACAAAGCTGGCATTAGACAATCTTACATTACAAATTTACAACCAATGCAGAAAGAAATGTAAACTCCACCACTAATTTAGGGGTAATTTCACCCTGATAACTAGCACAATCTCAATGACCTCACCCTTATTTTTATCTGTCCAAGTAGCCAGTCAGAAATACAGCTACAGAATGAATTGTAAAAATTGACTTCTAATGTTTATAACGGCAGGACAGTGCTATCTAATCTGAACAGAAGTGTGAAATCAGTTGAAAGTGACTAAAGTTAATAAAATTTGTGTACTGTACCAGTGCTTTAAGCCAGTATATAAAGTTTAAAATTTACAGAATTCAAATAAATGTCCTCGTATTATTAGCGCTGGAAAGCTAATTATAAATACACAGAATTATAATAATATAAACTAACAGAGGCATGCTCTAAATGAGCTTGGTGACATACATCGTTTCAGTGAAAGCTAAATTAGGATTTTAGATACAAAAATCACACTCTTCGTACACTCTCAGCTGGATCACCTTGCAAATTCCCTTACAGTTACTCCAGAAAACATGACCCAATCTACACACAAAAACCACGTGTCTGCTTGGTGCGTTAAAAGACAGGAGCTGAAGGTAAATAAAGGAGACAAAAATCATGGGGGAGGTGTGCAGTACATGTGTGGCAGAGTGGGCTGGTGGAGAGTCCCGCAGACGGGAGCTGAAATGGAACAGTGAACGAAGAAAGTGAGCGCTGAGGTGGATAGGTAGCCCAGGAGAAAAACAGGACAACTTTAAAAGCTTATCAAGGCTATGAGGGGGGAAATGCAGGCTGGCATGGGAATTTGGAGACATCCATGCCTGGGAATTTTCGGAACGCCCTTATCTTTGGCAGGCTGGTGTGATTTGCTAAACGTCAGCACAGTGACCTGCTGCCACAGAGGGTAACACGAGCTGGACAGGCGGTTGGGATCAGCGTGGCGTTATTTAGGCATGGAACTAGATGCTGGCTTTCTCATTGTCCCTTTTTAGACTGGAACGAGCTGCTCCTGTACGTCAGGTGTGAGAATGCGGGATGTCCGCCGGAACTGCTATCACAACGTGCCACTACTCCCCACTGTGCCTCCCCCCAAAATCTGAGCCGTCACACTGTAAAGCTATTATTCCTACCAAAACCCCTAGGTAAGGAAATTCACACCACCAAGTCGTTACACATGCTTTGCTGATATAAAAACATTAGAATTGTGTAATTGCTGTTAAAATTGTATTTAATATCGCATTTTAGTGACTGGAAACTAATTGCAATTCTAACAAATCGATTACAGGGAAAGAAAGTAATCAAGCTGTCTCATGTATCTGAAGATGACTTAAAAGATCTTTCTCATTTCCAAACCTCATTAAGCAATCGGTACACTTATGAGGTAAGTCTGCTGAATGCCTGAAATCCAAATGAGTTTTAAGGTCTTCAATCTGTCCTGTTGAATATTCACAGTACTGACACAAATAAATCCCTTCAGATAAATGAGAGCTTAAATGCTTGCAATATTCCAACATACCTGAAAAGCCCTTCCCACAGTCATCACAAACATGAGGGAATATTTTGGTGTGTTCAATCGCTACGTGCCTGTTGACATTTGTATGCAGCCTGCTCCTAAAGCCGCACACTTGGCATACAAAGAAGTTTTTGCATTTGTCAAAACTGATTTTGTTTATGAGACTGTACTGTCCGCGCTCCTTGTTGTTATAGCTGTCGCTTAACTCTATCAGCCGACACGCGTGTTCGTTCACCACATGGCTGTGCAGATCTTCCGGATCGTTTGTCTCATGCTCGCAGAACTGGCACAAATACTGCTCGTCGCAGCTGTGTTCCTGGAAGTGCAGGTACAGCTCGCTGCTGGAGGAGAACTGCATATCGCACTGCTCGCACCAGTAAAGGTGGTCATTGAAGTGAGTGTCTGCTATGTGCTGACTCAGATTCTCAAATATCACCGTTTTGTAATCGCAGTATTTACAGATGTACGGATCCTCCTCATGTAGTTTTACATGTTCAATGAGCTGCACTTTGCTGGAGAAGCTTTCTTTGCAAACTTTACAGACATGTGTGTCTGTACACGTCTTATGCTTCAGGATCACGTGCTGCTTTAAATCAGAAAAGTACTTGCTATTGAAGTCGCAGAGCTCACACTTGTATAAGCCACTGCTGTTGGCTCTCAGCAAAGGCCATTTCTGCTGCGCTGTGATATTCAGAGCCTGGTTCTTCTCAAAGATTTTACAAGTTTCCAGAGGGATTTCCTCTAGGTCCTCAGCTTCTAGCTTCTCAGGTGACACAGTCTGTGTTTCTATATCATGAACTTCTACAGCGTTCACTTCTGTTGTAGAAATTTCTACAGTTTGAATATCTAGGGGCTTCTCTTCTTCTGTAGGGCTGTCGCTGAATATAGGTGAATCACATAAGTCCCTGCACATTCCGTTATTAGTGCCTTTATCTGCAGGAGGAAATCGATAATAAAAGCAAAAGGTTAAAAAAATCCTGCAAAACACCTGGGCCCATATTTAACTTTTCAGTTAGTTATAGCAGCTTGCAAATGCAAAAAGCAAGTTACTTTTCCCCAGCCAGACTATGTTTAACCGACAAATAAATGAGGTAAACTACAAATCCTTCGCCTCTTCTGTCAAAGCAAGAGTTACCTAAAAAGCCAGCAGCCATGCTCTCCAGCTTCCCAGCACCTAAGCTGCAAATACGCATTTACCTTGACCTTTATCCTTCTTTTTAGGGTCTGTATAGTGCAACCCCACAACGTGTGAATGCGACCCGCTCCACTGCGAAGTCCCAGCGTGCACCGGACTCCCATCATCATCCGTGTCCAGGCTCTGCACTGGGCTGTGGAATCTACCTGCAAAGATAAAGGAAGAGTTTTCTTGTCATCATTCGTCTACGCTAGCATCATCATGAGTCTTTAACCACAAATCTTATTTACTATTTCCTTATTCTAGTTGCATAAATTTATCTTTACATACTAGTCACATCGTAACCTACGTTAAAGAAAGTAACAGTAAATACATCAGAAATTATTGCCATACAAACAGAAGACAACAAAATAACTCAAAAGGTGGCAACCCCGTCTTTGAAATTTCAGCAAAAAATAGTAAATTAATTGCACTGGAAAAAACTTAAAATCCTTAAATAAAACTTTATATTTGAAAGATACAATTTTAAAAAATATTATTCAATATTTCTGGACATCAACTTTTAAAGTGTAATACTTTGTAAGACTTCTGAAGACTTGCTGGCTAATTTATGAAGAGTGAAAATAAAACTAAAACTAAAAAAAAATCCATCCTCGCATTTGCTCTGCTAAACTTTACATCCTTTGGCGGATGTCAAATACTTTGTAAGACTTCTGAAGACTTGCTGGCTTATTTATGAAGAGTGAAAATAAAACTAAAAATAAAGAAAATCCATCCATTTGCTCTGCTAAACTTTACATCCTTTGGTGGATGTTGTAGAAAAGGCATTTTGTTTTCCCTAAGTACAGTTCAATGCAATTGCTGGTAAATTCCGTCTGAACTCTTAGGTTGTTTACATCAGCTCTCCATTACCTGGTAGCTAGTGGGTATTTAGATGAGCAAGTCGAATCGTTGTTAGAAATGGCTGTGAAATGGAAGGAACTTTTTGTCATCATCGTTTCTACTTTGAAAACTGTAATTCAATTCCAATGATTAAACAACCTTCCACCACTCTAAGGCATATCAAGCACACTCTCAGTCAGTTTGCAGATGACACCGAGCTGGGTGGGAGTGTGGATCTGCTGGGGGGGAGGAGGGCTCTGCAGGGGGACCTGGCCAGGCTGGATCCATGGGCAGAGCCCAATATGCGAAATGGAACAATAACACCAGTAGCACCGTGCTCTTAGGAAAAAGCCGACAATCTTCCCTTGGGCCAACGCATTCCGTGAGAAAAAATTACGTACCTGTTAAAAGGAACATAAAATTACAGATCTTCCTGCTCTCCGCTGCCTAGCCCTTCTACTGGATTAAGTTCTTTAAAATTCTGTATTGCACGGGTGCCTTGAAGAAGCGGAAGGTGCCCAGGGAAGGTGTCGAGTCCCCAGCCCTGGGGGGATTTAACAGCCGGGCAGAGGCGGTGCTGAGGGCCAGGGTTTGGGGGTGGGATGGCAGGGGTAGGGGAGCAGTTGGGCTGGGGGAGCTTAAAGGGCTCTTCCAACCTCAACGATTCCATGATTCTGTATCAGATCACAATGTTGCTCAGAAGTCACCCACTACGTATTTTGTATTCTATTTCCTTCTATGAATGAGAGTATGATACACTTAGTAAAGAACTGCAGAACAAGACCCCAAAATGTACTCTTACCTCTGTTTTCAGAAAACTTTATATCTGGCTGTTTCATAGAACAGACGCTATAGCAGTGGTCAGAAAAAATTCCACTGTTGTCTATGTATTTGCTTGCACCTGAAGAATCTAAAAGAAAAAAGAAGGTTTTATACTAACACACTGAGGTAGCTCCGTCTGTATTTCATGTTCACTAAAATTCTCCTCACCAGCTGCATTTTTACTTCTTGTGTTGTGAGAATTCTGTGCTGGCCTGGTAACGCTCCTGTTGTGATTTGCAACTTTCAGCTGCTCTCCTGATGTGCGCAGTATCCGCGACAGTCACTACCAAACTCCGTGCCCACTGAAGACAGTGTTTGTCCAGCACTGAACACTTCTGGACACCCCCATTCCAACCTTTACAAAACTCCTCCCCTTGTGTGTTGGTAGAATCATCTTCATTTTGAAGCTTGAGCAAGTTTCCCCGTTTGCAGGGAGTACAGAACAAAATGTTCCCGTGTATTGACTGAATGTGCCTTAACAACAGAGTTGTGGGAACTCAACACGTTTGGACCAAGACTTCTTACCCCACCCTTTATGTTACTGATCTTCCGTGTATGAGCAGATGTGGTCCCTTCTCAGAAAGTAATTATTCTGAGGAAAAAATAAAGTTACTGAAGCATATGTAACTCAAGCTGTAGACTGACCTGAGTATCGAGAAGGATGTAGAGTCTTCCTTTTCCTCTTTTTAGGATGTTCGTTCATTTTGAATGGTCTAAATTAATTAGAAAGTGAAAACAGTCAAGAATTAAGACTCGCTTGTACCTAATCTTTCAGGACTTTGTGAAACAATGCAAACATTTTGAAGACCTGCACATTGAACACAAGAGTTTTGTTCCTATTCCCCTTTCTCGCCCCCCAGCCCATTTTCTTACAGTTAAGAAGACATTAAGGGCGCACAAGTACTGCAGTCCAGGTTCCCATCCCTGCCCTGGAACAAAGGAGGCTTCGCCATACAGACAGGTCAGGACTCCGGGCACTCAAGCGCTCGGTGTAAGCTCTGAGGCAGTTCCCCAGCACCCTGCTGCCTTCTGTCAGAGACCAGATCTGCTGAGGCCCAGTCCTTCGGATAAAGTTTTAATATTGAAACCACGAACAGAAGTCATGTTCTCTTACCAAAAATCCTGGGCTTTTCAGTATCGACAAGCAGAGCAGCTAGGAAGCTGACGGCTGCACAGCTTCCAAATGTAGTGAATACATCAGCTCGAGACGATTTTCATCTATGGAGCGACAGCGTTTTAAAACACTTGGAAAAAAAAAAAAAAGAATCAGATACAGGAGCATTACAAAGTACGAAGCTATGGAAATTGAAGCTAGAAAACAGCATAAAAAACTGGTACTAATTGTGGTTTAGAGTATCAAAATGAATAAGGTAACTGCATTAGGGTATCTGTTTTCCTGTTGTCCCAGGTTTGTTGGCTTTCACTGTACTTGGCAGCTCCTGACAACAGAAAAATAGATGGAGACGACACCAAACCCACTTGAGCTATATAGAATTGTAGAATCGTTTAGTTGGAAATACTGGCCCGAAGGGTTTTGTAGCAGGGCAGGCTGCGCACATGGGATCTGGTGTGGTTTGCCCTAAGACGAGAGCGCTTATGGGCCCAGGATCTTCTACAGCCGCCAGAGGTGAAAGCAGGAAAAGGCGGCCCCTCATTGAGTAAACGCCGCTCTCGTGAGGTGAAATCATTTGTCTGAATTAAAATTTTATTTTAAAGGGAGAATAGCATGGAAAAAACCAGGGGTTTAACAGGGTGTCGCGGTCTGGGAGCGCCAAACACCCCCACCTGACG